AACCACATCAAGATAGCCAGTAAACGACATGCATTTATAGCATGTTAATCGTGGTGACTAGCACAACCTAGAAGTTTAGACAGAGCGTGATTTCGCAATTATAAGCGCACATTTGCTATTTTTTCCTCCAGCTGTTAACTTAGTAGGAGCTACATATTCTGGCCCTTTAGTTAGTCTGTCGCCGGTGTAAGTTGCTGAGTCAGCCTGTTAGGTTAAATTAAATTGTGAAGTCTAGCACTATTTCTTACGTTTTGAATTTATTATTAAATTACCTTAAGTTCTCACCGCAGGTGGTCGATGTTTTTTGTGAGCCTGACGTCCGTGCCTTTCTCTTAAAGAGTTGTGATAAATAAAAGGGCTATTTACATTCTTTCTCTGTTGGATTCATTTTCACGCCTGCTCGAGAAATCACCAAGTTGCACTCGGACATCTAGACACTTCGTATGATAGGAAAAGAAGTTAGAACTAATAATCTTAGTAGTAAGTGTTACGAACAATGTGTTCAGATTGTAAGGAACTATTAATTGTAATTACTGGCAGCAAGAGCGCTTAGAAATATTGAAATAACCAGGCTGCTTTATTAGAAGCAATTAGCGGAGTGTCTAAACTATTCGGCAAAACGGTGGCTTTGCAAATGCGGTCAAGAGCAGGAGACTGACGTTAATTACGGAAGGGGAAAGTAAACGGCTGTGTCAGGGATCATAAGGGGAGATATATTTTAAAAGAAAAGTGTGTTTAGGTCTCATTCAGTATCAGTATATCAGGAATATATATCGCGCGCTGGAGATAAAAATGTTTTTTTTTCGCACAGTGTTGCCATTGCTCGCTTTGAAATCGCTGAGTTTGTTAATCAAAAATTCGTTGAAGTGTTATAAAATATGAAATCGATAATAAAACAAATTTTAAATTCAAATTAGGGCTTCCACACGCCTATATTCTATGGAAGATTACGTTATTCAAATTTTGATGGCTCTAGGTACCGCCGTTTTATTATAAGCGAGAAACATACATACATTCATGCAGACTCTTCATTATTTAATTTCTTTAAATATAATTTTTTAGTTATGGAATGAGATTAATTAATAGATCTTTTTTAAATTCTATAATAAAGTTTATTTTTATCGTTCGTTTAAATTAAAAAGATGTGCATGAAATTCTTAAAACATTGGTCTTCTTGTACAAAACAGATATAAAAATATTAGCTTTCTAAAATTATTCAACACATTTTAATCTTTACAGGCGTATTTAGTTAGATATTTTATTATAAGTGGTTAAATATTTTTATCATTTCATCAAAACATTTGGCGAGTAATGGCAAAATGTTTGTTTCGTCTTGTGTTACTAATTGTGGTAGGTGTTTAAAAATTGTTTTCGAATTTTACACAACACGTTTTGCGAAATTTGTTTCATACAATTGAAATCTCGATAACGAACACAAAATTTGAATATTTGAAGAAAATTAAACCGTGATAAGCATCGCATCATTCATAGCCATATGCTTATAGTCATTATCTTGTTAGAATTCGGAATTATTTTGTAGATTAAAATTTCGAGCTAATGGCTTAAAATGTCATTTTGAAATTTTAGTTACGTTTAATTAAAGTTTCATTTTGAAATTTTAGTTACCTTTACACTGATTCATTATATTTATCAATAAATATAAAAAAAAAACATAGTTTCAAAAGATGACATATACTATCATATTATTATTCAATCTGCGTCACATTTCTCCTTCGCTGAATAGTAATTGTTATAGTAATTATTATTTAGTGGAGTAAGTTTTCGAAATTCTTTTTTGGGGTCTCTTTGATACTGAAAACGTATCACACTATCAATGACATCAAAATGGGTTTTATCAGTACATTTTCTAATATAGTGTTTAGAATTTTTATTTTTATATACTTAGAATATATTTTGAGAGAGAAATAGCTGAATTTTTCTATTTTTTCATTGAGATGAAATTTTTTCCTTACGACTTGGTTAATATACAGTAAAATCTCTCGTAATTTCTCCAATAATGCAGCAATTTCAAAATTACCACACTTTTGAAAGCCTGAATTTAGATCATCTATCCAAAGAGTTATCTAAAACGTAAAGATGAATTACCGACTTCTTTTCCGCATCGATGAGTGAGCTTGTTTATGACTTTCAGAAAATATTCACATTGAAAGACGACATATTTACTTTGTGTCTTGCCTGAGATGTAAAGAAGATGTAGTCGCAAATTGTGGCTTATGAATATAGTTATAGACTGATGAGTTTGTAGAGTCATTAGGTTAATTGGAAGCAGAAAAGATGAAAAATGGCAAACGCCTTCGCCGGGAATCGAACCACGGACCTCTGGAATACCGGCCCAGCGTGCAGAACCACTACACCACGAAGGACGCTAGGAAAGTAGGAGAAATACAGGGCGATAATATTTGGTGGCAACAATTTGAAAAGTGATTCGCCGTTTATAGTTTTCAACGCAAAATGCCAAAATGAAATTAATAATCCTTCTGGGCGAATTGCCCCTTTGGACTAAAAATGTATTCAAAGAGCGATGGGCTGATGCCTAGCAGTAAGGGTTTGGAATCAAGAATATGTTTCGCAGAACCATTATATTACTTGCAAGTATTTTATTAACTGATATCGTTAAATTTTGAAATTTGATATAAACTAGAAAAGGGATATAAAATTAGGAAATATTTTATTTTTAAATAAACATTCAATTTATTTAAAAATATTTCACTCAGTTGTTGTCGCAAATATTTCACTCAGTTGTTGCAAATATTTCACTCAGTTGTTGTCGCAGAGCTGTAATTTTATTGGGGGCGGGTAAGTAGGAAATTCCACTGGTTAAGTAATGGAAAATCAAGAAATTTTTGCGATCGAGGAGCAAAACGCTTTTTTCTGGGCGGAGGGGGTGGTCTATACCAGAAACGAAGCAATACCACAGATAACTAGCATGTGACTAAATAAAATATTATAATTTTTTTTTTAAATTACAAAATTTACATTTATTAATCATTCAAGAAATGCTACAAAAGCATTGAATTCAAGATTACTGTTTAATTTGACGATATTTTTAGACATTATGCTGTACATAAAACGGCTTTTCTTCGTTAAGAAGTTCGTTTTTAAAAAGGTACCATTTTTCATCGAAATCGTCGGCACGGATACGAAATGAAGGGCGATTTATACTATACCTCAATTTCCTGGCCTGTAAGACCCGCAGTGATTTATCAAGTTAAAACTTGGGAAAAATACTTAGACAGAAAACGATTAAGTACCTATTTTAATGATAAACACTTTATACAACGAAAACGGAACTGTTGCATTAAAAATTGGCAAATACATCAGCGTTTCTTAGAATCCCAGAGATTCGTCAGCATTGTTGCTAAAATTATAGTTATTTTCACTTAGGTTGTCACTGTAACTAGATTTACAACTTTCCTAAAACACAATGTCGTCCTTATTTCCAACTAGTGCACTGCTAATACGACACTTTTTAAAAGATTTATTTGTAGGATAAAATTGGATAATAGGATAAATGTATTTTTCAGTATTAACTTCATTCTGAAGAATTTTCTGCAGTCTAGTTGGCGTTATTTTATTCATAAGTCTCAAATTAAAAACAATTTAATGTTTATATGTCATTAGAAAATTAACCAAAAAGCAGCGACCACAATGTAATTGAAAAACAGTCCCTTAGACGTGAAAAAGTTGAAGGCCATTTGGGTTAAGACTATTTTCTCAGATACTCAGCTACTTCGAATACATGGAACATAGCATTCGAAATGAAAAATTCAATATTTACTACAAATTCATTGATGTAGCAAATATCTGTCTTTCTACTCCTACTTTAAAAAAAGATATTATTTGCCTTACAGTTTATAGTTCAATAATACATTTTCATTGTACAAAATTGCATTCATTCGAAGAATTCAATTTGTATTTTCCTCTGTATAAAAACTGAATGTAAAGAAGTTAGATGTTTAAACGACCCCCACATTTTCTCAAGACCACGAGCAAGATTATCCCCTTCTTTTCAGCACACCCCGTGAAAAAAGGGGTTCTAAATTTACGACCTGACCGCATATAGGGTGATTTCGCAAAACAACACGGATTTTGGAGTTCCCTCATAAATTTTTAACATACAACCTTTTATTATCTTCGCTAAATAATATATGGTTTACAGCGTCAAAAAATTCGATATCTTTGATAAACCTTATCGCGACATAGTAATAGAACATCAGATTTATATTTAAATAATAATATACCAAATAATTAAATCATAGACCAGTGCAGCAATTAACTCTTGTCATGGTCATGATGTTCTTATTAGGATATAGTTTGCTAAACAAAACTGAAAAATCTAAACGTAATTATCAAAAATCAATGCTGCGTAAAAACACTAAAATATCTCGAAGGAGCTCTGGGGATTTAAATTTTATTTCAAACGTGTTCAAAAATGCACTATTACTCGTTTCATTTATACATTTTTCACTGGCTATATTTGAAATCTTAGATTCTCCAAACCTCAGTCATAGGCTGTATCATAAAAGCATAAGGTTAGAAAGTGAGTTAAACGCAATTACATTTTTTATATGTTCTTTGAAAAAAAAATGGCATTCGTTAAAATAATTGAACCTATGAGATTTGATGCCTTTGTTTCACATGCTCATCGTGTAACATATTTCACTTTAGTTTGTTTCCAAAGCAGTAATATATATGCTTTGAGGAAACTGGCTATTTTTTTATCAGTGATTCCAGTGTCTCTTAAGACAGTTCATTATACCTGTAGCAATGTAGTGACAACAGAGAAATAACAACTTTCCAGTAGAAAGGCACCCAATCTACCCTGCTGTAGGAGATATCTGTGAAGAGGTATTCGCTCCTTTGATCATAAGTGGAGAGTCAACAAATATTTTAATCTATGGCAAGAAGTCTTCTCACTTTATCGAAAAAAAATAGAGGTTTAAAGTTCAAAAGCAGAAGACTCTGATTTGAAGTTCTACATTTGCAGAAGCTGCACGTTATATTGTCTTTTCTATCTTAGAATTTTAACGCAGCATACTATTTTGTGATTAGTTCTTTGTGCTCTTCAATTTTCTGCATTTCATATTCATTAAAGAAACATAACGTATTCAAATCAAAAAATGAAATCTGTGCTTTACAGGACTTTCATGTTTCTGGTGATGCTTGTGGTGCAGTGTACGTCAGCTTACAGAAAATGTAAGTAATATGCAGCAAATTTAGTTTGCTATTTTTATAATGAGATGATATAAATAATAAGCGTAAACATAATCAGTATACACCGAATGCTTCTTTTCGAATAATGTATTACTCATACAAGAAGACTATAGGTTTAAAAATTAATTTTCTCCTAAAATTTATAAATTCAATATGGAGAAAATTTATTAAGAAGCAAATAGTCGAACAGGATTTTCGTCAAATTTTTAGTGTTTTTTAATGCAGAAGGAATTACTCACCGTAATAGAACACCAGATTATCTCGAAAGTCGTATTTAGGTTGTGTACAAAATTGTGCATAAGTATACAGTAATTTTATTTTGGTATTTTTTCTATCAATAATCTTTGCATCAGATAATATTAATAGTTTAACAGTGAAATTTGTGTTAATAATTTGTAAATATCAGACTAATGTTATTGTATCTACTTCGTTGGTTCCGTTAGGGTATATAAAGTTGTTGGCGATGGTATTGGGACGCGTGAAATCAGAATCGTCACCAAAATAGAATTTGGAATTTCATTTTCTAGGGATTTTAATCCCTTTGACACAAATCAGCTACAAATTCGATGCAAGAGAAAATGAGGAAAATTTAGAAGGGGTGAAGTTTACATTAAATCTAAAATCGGTGAAAAATGCCTCGGAGCAGTTGCTTTTGTCACCTTTCTCAGTGTACACTAAGAAATTTATAAAAATGTGAAAACGACGTATAAGGAAATAAATAAAAACACTATATGTATATATATATATTTTGAAATAAAGTTTCGATTCCATCACTCTCAAGTGATATTTTGCTTGCTTTCCTGCTTAGCAAAATCGTTATTGTGTAGAGGCATTAGGTAATTTGGAAGCAGGAAAGATGAAAAATGAGCAACTGCCTTCACCGAGAATCGAACCACGGACCTATGGAATACCGACCCAGCGTGCAGAACCACTACACCCCGAACGTACGCTAGGAAGGCGGGAGAAATACCTTACACTACACTTCCCCTTTTAAAGGGCGACTGGGGTTGTTAGGGGACCCAATCGCCAAATCTTGGGTGAGAAGAATCATCATCCAACACTTTTTTGAGTTCGGACGCCACAGTAGAGACATTAGGTATTTTTGGAAGCACGAGAAATGAAAAATTAGCAACGCCTTCTCCGAGAATCGAACTGCGGACCTCTGGAATACCAGCCCAGCGTGCAGAACCACTACACCACGATGGCACGCTAGGAAAGCGGGAGAAATATCTTATAATTGATATTCCAGAAGTTTGTCTCATTACTCCATTTGATACTTTATATAAGTACAGTAAGATATCTTAAACGGAAGGTACTCATGTTTTACCTTAGGTGCTTCTTAATCATTCGTATTTATGAAAACTCTTCAGTCCAAGAAGTATTACAGTAGTATTACAGTGTATTTCAATAATTACGAGTATAATTACACTCTGAAGACTGTATTTTACAATAAACTGCAAAAGTTCAAAGTGACTATACTTTCACCGCTATTTTTCGTCTTCCCAAGCTATAACAGAAATAAAATTTCGAAATATTTCTCTTTAAAAAAAAAAAAAAAAAAGCAAGGAACTATTTATTATGTATGCCACCGTGATCACAATTAAATTGAAATTAGTGTTTTCCATTCAAAAGTTTCAATGAAATAAGGAAAGGTTAACAAGAACGTGAAGTTGTTGATACCTCGGTGGGATTTCTTTGAATACTCTTTTCAGCGTAAGAGTAATTATCTTCTGAATTCAGTTTCGTATGATAATTCAGCATCTCTAACTCTGCACCTCACCAATGATTGGATGGATAATATGGGTGAATACTGGTAGTTTTGTCAGGACTGCTATTCCTTCTAATTGCCTTTGGGAACTATTAGTAATCCTGAATGGAAGCACGGATCTTACTCAAACTATGCTCGTGTGTTTGTAGAAGACACAACACAAACAAAAAGCGTTAACTTTACACTTTACTTCTCACAGAGTACACTCGCTGCCACACTTCGGGATACAGAGACCAGCATTTTTGGTCTCTGTATCCCGAAGTGTGGCAGCGAACGTAGAAAATAAGTAGTAAATAAGAAATAAACTAACTTAACTTAATAAGAACTAAACTTAAATGCTTTACAGAGACTATTAACGCAAAGATTGACATTTTTGACACTACGTCTGTAGTGAACGAAATGAAAAAACTACAATACGTCTTCAAATATCAGCGGGAATTAAGTTCTGGCCTTAAAGGCAGACATGGACTGACTGAAAAGCACACGCGAGGCAGGGCAGCAAGAAGTCTCTTTCTTCTCTTGGCTAAAAGCCATTTCCTAAATACCTATACAATTTGTAACCTCATTAGCATAAACAACTCCTAATCGCGTTTATTCTGGTCGGCAAGGGAAAATAAGAGAGGATAGCAAAATTTTAAAATAAAATAAACGTTAGGAAAACTTAAAATCCTTACAGTTTGATCGAGGGTAAAATTCGAAAGGATGGGCTGGCTGCACAAACGCTTTCGTGATTTACCTTTTGTTTAACATACCGTATGTAATAACATTGTATTCACACATACGTGAAGTGAATATGAGCCACTGCCCCTTGTATAACGTAAATTTGAGCCAGTTCTCAGTTTCTAAGCTTTTCGTGGAAGATTTTTGCTCCTCCACGAAGACATCCCTTCGTTGGACAAATAACACCAGTGATCCGTATGACGTGAAAAATGCCGCCTCTATACCACCTGGGCTAGATTACCCTATTTATCGCTGATTACAATCTTTTAATTAGTTCATTTTGACATTTAATTATGGTTCGAAAAAACTTCTAGTTGTTAGAAGCTAGAGTGATACGCTTAATCCCGGAAAGCTGCTATTAAATTAACCAAGTTAGTTCTATCTTAATTATTGGATTTTTGTACTAGTTTTTATTCGCTTTTTGCTTTTTTCTGTTTTTACATAAATCAGCCTTCAAGTTTAAAAGTTAATTCCTGAAATGAAGCTGAGCATTACATCAGTCTGAGAGAGTTTTCATTAAACTAATCCCCGTTACTTTCAACTTTTTACTAGGTTTCGGAATATTACTGTCATTATATTTTATTCACATTGCATTTGAGTTTTAATGTAAATCGATCTGTAATCCTGATTTGTGTGCTTACTGAAATCAGGCTTACGGATTTTAATAATGTGCAGATTTGATCTCTTGAATCATTAAAGCTGAATCAAGCTTAATTTTGGAACGTGCTCTAAGAAGTGTTTAAGTCTTAAATGATTGTTTTATTTAGTGCTTACTGTTCAACTTAATGAAGTGACATAATACTTTACTTCAAGAATAAGTAGTTTTTAATAGCTAATGACTTAATTTAACCTAACTGGATAAGTCTACTCAAATTATTACTGAGATTCTTTGACACACATACGTCAGCTGTGCTTTCACAAGGGAGAAAAGCTACCTTCAAATTTTAAAGTTAAAATTTAAATTCTGGAGAACTCTAATTGTTTTGAGTTCAGTTATTCGGAATTTTAGTTATGAGGATTGCTTTTTCTTTCTCTAGCTGAGAAAAAAATAAGTGTCTTTTTAATTTATTTAGTTTTCAATTTTTTTTACACTGATTAAAAAAATGTTAAAAAATAATTAAGCACTTCTATTCTTAAAATCTAAGTACTATAGGAGAAGAATTTTATTGTTTTTACGTCAAAAAGTGTTAAAAAACAAGATCTTACTTTAATTTTGACTGAATAATAGTAGTTTAGGCGTTTTATTCGTGCCAAATAAAAGACAATTCCTTTATTTAATTTTAGTAATGTAAAACGGAGAACTAAATATTTACTTAGTTTCAGAAGTTGCGTAAATGAAATTTCCACTCTGTTGTTTTTGTTTAGTAGAAATTAAAATAGACTGAGTGTTTAGGCAAATAAAAAAAAAATATTTTTGGTTTAAATTTTGCGGAAAAAGTGTGCAATTGGTTTTCCAGAAATAAAAATGTTTTATATATTTGAATCGTAATATTTTATTGAAACAAAACTCAATAAACGGAAAATATAAATTCTCTCAACTGCATTATTATAAAGTATTTCGTCATAGATAATGCTGATTTTGGGGATATCCGAATGGATCCAAAAAATCTCGATTTTTGGAAATCTGACACTGTTCCTTTTACATCTAGATTCGTTTGAAGCTGTTTTCTATTTAAGCTAAAATCTTGCCACATTTTATGATGCGATTTAAACGACATATAGCTACAATAAATAGATAAAAGATTAAAGCAAGATCTGCAAGCTTTCTTCTTTTCGTAGAACATACATAATCTTAACAAATAAATAACAACAATTTCCTGATTTTAAATGGATATTCTTATTTCACAATGCAAAGATACTAAAAGATATGTTTCATTCTTATACCTACCTCTCTCTGCTCATAAAATTTTAAAGCATGTAAGCAATTATCTGAAACAATTGAGTGTCACAGTATTCGTAATTGACTTAAAGTAATAAAAAGGGATTTTACTGTGATTTTCTTTACAATATTTCAGCTTCATGTTCGCAAATAAATTACCATTCGAATGCTGAAGTAGTTAATTCTAAAACCGAAATGGTGGCTTGAAAACAATATTTGTAAAGAATAGTTTTAACAGCTACCACAGATAGGTGATCGTTCCTGGTGGGTGCAACAATTTGTAAGTGTTGCACCCATATCAGGGTGACCACCACCAAGATTTTCGTCATCAAGACCACTACCAAGATTTCCGAGGATTTCCTTTATATTTTAAGTTCTTTATTTATTGGAAAAAATAAGTTTGAAAACAAGCGATATAGAAATGCCATATACGGAAAATTTGCATTCTGCTTCTCCAATTTCTAATTTTTAAGACAAAAAGAAATTTTAGTGCTTAGTTTCGTTCCCCCCCTCCTCCCACACACCGATATAATACATGGAGGTAAGAAAGGAAGGAGAGGCCATCTCCGCATTACCAGTGAAGCACTGCTCCGAGGCTTCGATCTACAGATGGGG